GTCAATATAATGAAATGTTTATTGTACCAATTAATATATATGAATTCAATTTATAAAAATTACTTTACTGTATAATATACAGTGTATATCTAGTTAATACTGTCAACTAAATTGAAAACTTGTTGTAACAAAAGTCTGACACTCCGTGCAGTATTGCGAGCGTTATTTGTGTGGCAATGAAAAGTTAAACGAAATTTTCAAACAAACTTTCGCATTGAATGGACACTTAAATTGTTTTATCATTATTTCAGTTGTTTTACAGTCAGTGAAGCAATCGTTTCATCGGAAAAAACTCTTTGCATTCACTTTCAGTTCATATGATATGCTGTTTATGTAATCAACGCTTCATTCACTCGTATTTCGCTTACCATTGAAAATGTAAACTCATTTTAAAGTCATTTTTATATTTTGTTGTATTGTTTGTGTCATTGTTTTCAATCCTATGTTTTGTCGGCAATTATCAGCGAATAGTCACTAATTATTGCCATATTGTCGATCATGCCCTGGGCGCGCGCCCAGTACGCCTTAGGGGCGCCAGCGCTTGTCGTTATTATTACAAGGCTTCTTTTGCGCATGATTTTGGCACTTAGTGATACCCTTAGCAACCAAATAAAGCAATTTTATGGTTGGCAGCACTGTAACAAAAGTCTGACACTCCGTGCAGTATTGCGAGCGTTATTTGTGTGGCAATGAAAAGTTAAACGAAATTTTCAAACAAACTTTCGCATTGAATGGACACTAAATTGTTTTATCATTATTTCAGTTGTTTTACAGTCAGTGAAGCAATCGTTTCATCGGAAAAAACTCTTTGCATTCACTTTCAGTTCATATGATATGCTGTTTATATAATCAACGCTTCATTCACTTGTATTTCGTTTACTATTGAAAATGTAAACTCATTTTAAAGTCATTTTTATATTTTGTTGTATTGTTTGTGTCATTGTTTTCAATCCTATGTTTTGTCGGCAATTATCAGCGAATAGTCACTAATTATTGCCATATTGTCGACAATTGCCACAAATCCATACAAACCAATGGTTCAGGTATTGTATCATTCAATACAATCCTCCGATTAAATCAATTGCTTATCAATTAATTGCGAAACTAATGGCATTTATCGCGAATGCAAACTCATTGTAACGTTATGTGAATGGGAAGGGGAGGTGAGGGGGACTGGCATTGAAATATTTAATACATAAACACTTTTATATAATATCTATTCGTAATAATAAAACACTTGAATAATTATACGACTATTTAGATACAAATGACTCATTAAATGATTAAAACTCATGAATAAATGATAAGTTTTTATGAATAATTAGCTAATTGTTAGCAAATATTGAGTGACAGACAGCTCTCCCATAGAGTGCAGTGCATAGTGTCAGCCGTCGTACTGTTTGCCTATATTTCACTATTTATTGTGTTTTTACAGTTGTTTTTGACACTAATTTGCACTCATTTTAGTCGTCGTATAATAAACCACTGAATCGGTGAATGAGACGACTGTTTGAATGCCTTATGAAATGCATTGGCATTGAAAGCATACACTAATCCCAATCATAGCCCACATTGAGACCCGCAATGAGTAGTAATAATACATTTGGTGTGAATTGCAGTCAACCCTCGCATCGGTCGTCCAATTCTGGCATTAATTTCGACTTTCCGTCACTGAATCTGGACTTGAGTTCAATCACCGAAGCGCTGTCACCGAGGAGTCTGTCCAACGGTTGGGACCAACTCATGGCTTCCACCAAGACGTGCGCCAATCGTCCCAAAGACATCACTTGTCAGAGCTGTGGACTCAAGTTCTCGGTGTTCAAGAGGAAGGTATGTATCCATCGAGTGGTTGATCCGTTTGTCTCTGCAGTCCATACATAGCCTCCACTTCCTTATCATGTGATGGATGTGATCGTCAAATCAGATCCCATTAGCCGTCGATATATAGCCATTGAGTGACTCATGAAATGCTTGTTTGACGTAAATATCCGTCAAATGAATGTTTGCATTGAATTTGAACCGCATTTTGAGGCAAACCTTTGGCCGTGTCTTCGCATAAATTAAACCCTTTTTTGAGTGAAGTTTAATGACTTTGTATTGAGATTTTGAATTTAAAACACGTTTTCATGTGATTTGACGCTCGCATAGCATACCATCCCTTCCTTGAGATTAATGACAAACGTATTCCGAGTGAGTGTTTGACACAAGAAGTGTACTAATGATCCCACCATTGGTTGTGATAATAGCGGACGTGTTTCGACTGTAATATGGATTTTTGCACTCAATGTCTGAACAAAGAGGTCGGTTATGACCGCAAGAATCACTGCAAACGCTGTGTTGTCTTCAATGCCGTACCATTGGATCGAAACGCGTTGAACGGTCTCAGGGCTCGCGATCTCAAGTGGTTTTTGGCCTCAAAGCGGATTCCCTCTCAGATGTGCAAAGTATGCGTCCATCCATTGGATAAAACCATGGATTCAATGCATGAATAACTGTCTGATTGAGTGTTTGAAATGACAGGAAAAGGGAGAACTCGTCGATCTTATACTCCAATCGTTTTCTCCGCAAACAAATACTTCAGAATCGGGTGAATATATGAGACGTTTTGATAACTACAACACCACTACCACTCACACCTCAAGTGATAATCAAAGTCCAAGCGATTCCCAGCCGGAGAGTCGCAATGAGAGACATTCACCCATTTATCCCACACTTAATCCATTGACTTCAGACACGAGTGCCACGAATGGGGCGCTTCCCGGTAGCAGTGAATCGGTGAACGAGAAGCCAGAGTCCACGCCAGTGAAGGCGCAGACGTACTTCAATATCGACGACTTGACATCATTGGATCAGTTGAAGGAACTGAGTGTCAAACAAATGAAACTGATTTTGACGCGAAATTTCATCGATTATAAGGGATGTGTCGAAAAGGAAGAGCTTTTCTCCAAAGTGGAGAGACTCTGGACTGACAAACAGGAGAACAAAATGCAAAGTATTGTCTATTTTGTTGCCATTGTTTTGCACTTTATTTCAATCATTGGTTATAACACTCTCATAGATGTGGACGACATTCCCGATTCAAATGTGTGCAAAATCTGTATGGAATCCACTATTGATTGTGTTTTATTAGGTATGACTTATAACTTAGTAACTGTAATATGATAAGCATTTTATGAATGGTATTAATGTAATGAATTGAATGGTTGGATGTGATATAGAGTGCGGGCATATGATCTCGTGTACGAACTGTGGTAAGCGGTTGAGTGAGTGTCCCATTTGTCGCCAATACGTCAGTCGTGTCGTCCATATCTTTAAGTCTTGAAGGCCTCACAATTAGTCTGAAATTTTTATTTTATTAAACGAATAGTCAATAACTTATTGATATAATTAAGAAACAATATTTTGTTTACAAATCAAAGCCATAACATAAATATTGTTTTTACTAATATATATATTTAATTGTATTTAAAAAGAGTATTTTAAAACTATGATATACTACTCAAATGTTAATTATTATTATAATCAATACATTACTTTCGATATTGTTTTCATTTCAAACATTTACGTCAAAATAAATTGAATTCAAAACCATTTTGTTGTAAACTTTAATGATTTATTTGATTGCTATTCAGTCGTGAAAATTGATGTTTTATGGTCATAGAAAATGTTCCCTGATTATACTTGTCGCAGCTATGCTAACATTTGACCTCAAGGTATCCACAGTGACACGACAGGTGTGTTGGGGTCACAGGTGTCGCATAACTTGACATAACTTTGACAGACAGTGTGTCATCCGAGTGGAGACAATGAGAGCCATCTGTGAGCGCAGTGTTGAGTGTATAGTAATGCCTATAAATTGAAAGCATTGACTGTAAGCGTGAATAAAGGGACACACATTTGGTTGCATTACTCG